TCTATGGGGCCGAGCTGCGCGATGCGGAGGCTGCAGGTAGTGCTGGGCCACCTGAAGGGCCAGCAGAATTCAGGATGGGCGCCGCAGGCCGCTCCGTGCTTGAGCACCTACCCGCAGGCCTCCGCCGCGGACGTGGTGGTGGTGCACGGGCGGCGCACGGCCATCGGCAAAGCGGGACGCGGTGGCTTCAAGGTGAGGCCCATCGGTTTGGACGTTGAGTGTGAGAAGACGGCCGGGCGGGCTGGGGTCCGGCTCATCTGCTTGGTTCCCCTTGACGCCGGAGGCAGCTCCGCACCCGAGCTGTGGTCGCCTTGTCTCTTCGGGTTGGTGTAGGGGAGTGGGCGTCACCGCGGCTCCTCTTCCCGCTGCAGGACACCACCCCTGACGAGCTTCTCTCGGCCGTCATGACGGCGGTTCTCCGGGACATGAAGCTGAGGCCCGAGCAGCTGGGGGACATCTGCGTAGGTGAGCGCACCACCCAGGCCCTGCGCTGTGCCCTCCCCACTTTCCCGTCCCTGAAAAGCCCTCCCCAGACCGAGTTTTCACTGAGGGGAACATCGATGGCCTCCACCTTCAGGCCAACCCTACTTCCCACCCCTACATCTGCAGCCTTGAGGTATAACAACATAATATGGCGCCAGAGTCTCATCCAGTGGGTGCCTCCTCTAGGTCGGGAATCACTGTTCCACCTCTCCGGAGTGACTGCAGGGCTTGGGGGAGGACGCTCAGGGAGGTGTGCATTTTCAGAAACTCATTTCTCTAACCGACAGGATCAGTTCTGTTAGACTGTAAGCTTTGTATTGCATTCTTCTTTCTTTAAAGTCTTCCATGTTGCCTTTAAGGAAAGGCAACCTGCCCATCTGTGCTGATTTGGAAAAGCAGGGTGCATGGGCAAGTGAGCTTGGGACCCTCAGGGACAGGAGCTGGTGTATGACCAGGACAAGCTGTTGTATGGCTGGCTCTCCCTGCTCCAAACGCTGAAGTTCCAGAGCTGCAAATGAGCCTACTAAGGGCTAAAGTCCTGAAGAAAGACCTGGAATGTCTCCTCTCTGGTATTCACAGCTATATCTTAGTGCCCAGAACATCACCTGGCACTGAATAAAGGTTTGTTGTCCACAGGAAATGTGCTTCAGCCTGGGGCCGGGGCAGTCATGGCCCGAATCGCCCAATTTCTGAGGTAAACTTTTCTAGTTCTAGCTCTGGGTTTGGCCACTTTGACCCATGAGTGGGTCCAGGCCCCAGGGAACTCAGCCTGTGGGTGGTGGAAGATCAGGTTGGACATTAGACCTTGAGGCAACCAGAATTCTTAGCACCATTCTCTTGTAGACTCAACCTTTCCCCTGATTTTGAAGGGAGGGTGTATTACCCAGTGCTGAGCCAAAACACCTGGGGCCTTTGGGACTGAAGCAAAAGTTCTCTGTGGCTTGATTTTTAGCCAAAGCCAGCTTGTTGTTTGCCTCTTTCAAGTGTGGACTCTGTCCTCATTTGTTGTGTAAATAACCAAGTAGGCATACTGAAGAGTGACTTTGAGCCTTTATGCTGGTTGAGCAAGCTGGGAACTCCAGTCATATCCCATCTGCAGAGACTTGGGGACAGGACAGAACTCTGGGGAAGGAGGGAACCCAGGAGGAGCCCTGGGAAACTTGCACTTAAACACCTGCTGTCCCAAGTTGGGGGAGCAGTGCTTAAGTTATTTTCATGTGTAGATTTAAGAATTTCTTAGCTTTGTACTTCTGCCTGCTTGGAGAGAAATAATAGGATCATCAGCCAGTGAAGCAACAGGGAAAACAAAAACCTCTAGGAACCGGGAGAGGTTCAGACTTCTTAGCCTGTAGTTCAAGACCTCCTGCAATCTGGCTCCAGACTTACCTTCCAGCCTCATCTCCCAGCTGCTTACTTGCCTTGACTTCTTTCAGCCAGCCTGTTAGCCTACAATCTTCCCTCTTCTGGTCATTTTGTCCCCTTCAAGTGCTATCTCTACCTCCTCTCTCTGCCTTAGCTAAAGCCTGTCCAAACACAGTCTCACCATTTTAGCATGACTTAGCCAAGCTTTCAGGCTTAAAATAAGAGCCCCTTCCTCTCCAGTAGCTAGCCGTCTACTTCCTTGTGATGTGGTTTTGCCATCTTGCCCTGTTATTTCAGTCTCTGCTAGTTGATTCATTTTCTGTGTATTGCTAGGGCATCCTCTAGGGCACAGTATTCTAAGCATCTCAGCATCCTTCAAGTGGTGTCTCGTGCTAAATATGTATTTAGTGAACACTTGGTGGATTGGGTGAAGGAGTGGGAACTACCTAATAGGGAGTTAGGGGACCTGGGAGGGGTTAAACAGGCTGTGTAGGCCTAAAAGGCTGTCCATGTGAGGGTCTCTGCAGAGCCTGGCCTGGCACTAGGGGTTCCCAACGTTGGCTGCACACTAGAATTAGCAGGGTACTTTTACTCCCCGATGTTCTGAGGCCATGGGTCTACGGAGGGCCTAGAGATTTCCCTAGGGCTTTGTACTGTTGGCCGAGGCAGGTTACAAACAAGAGGGGCAGCCTTACTAGCTTCCAGTGTGAGACCCTGAGGGAACCCACCAGAGCAAGGGATGTTAGAATACATGGTGTCCATCAGACTTCTTTATCCAGGTGGGAACAGGCTCTCAGGCGTGAATGGGAACATAAAGGGTTAGCCATATGGTTACTAGTAAGTCTGAGAGAGTGAGGATGGCCTCTGGCCTCAGACTTTAGGAATTTCTTTTGCTTTCGTGCTCTGTCCCAGTAACAGGCCCTCTTCTCTGTTCTTTGGGGGAAACAGACATGTATAGTTTTCATTTTGAATCTTCAAAGGGAGAGAACAAAGGATTCCTGTGGCCCAAACAGGCTTCTCCTGCCTTTGGGCTGTGCTTGGCCTTTGGTTGAGGAGAGTCATAGAAGGAAGGGCATATGCTTTTGGGACCCTGGGGAGCAAGAGCCTGAAGAAATGGGGTCTCCCAGTAGCTGCCCACTCTCCATTCCATGGATCTGGCCTGGCATGGGGTCAGGGCTGCTGGGTTTGTTCCCCTGGCTTTACACCCCTTGATGGGGGCAGTTAGAAGCACAGGCCTGACTTCCATGAGAGCCTGGCAGGGGAGAGAGGACTCATTCTACTGTCTCACCTTCTGTTTCAGTGACATCCCAGAGACCGTGCCTTTGTCTACTGTCAATAGACAGTGTTCATCGGGGCTACAGGCAGTGGCCAGCATAGCTGGTAAGTTGGGACTGGGTGGGTGCCCACTGACCAGCCTGGCCTTGGTTCTGGCCCCATGGGTTGGGTCAGCAAAGTCAGTGTCTGCTGGGCAAGCAATCAGGATTTCTGAGAGGACTCTAACCACAAAAAGAGTGAAGGAACACCCTTGCCACTGTCCCAAGCCTTTTTCTGAACACTCCTGGGTCTTCCATCTCTGAGGCTGGGGCTTAGTCCCACCTAGAGACCAGGTGGGGAAGAGGCTCTGCTGCTTCCAGAACAGATGGATTCTGGCAGAGGATGTTTATGAAATGCTTTTGTTGCAGGTGGCATCAGAAATGGGTCTTATGACATTGGCATGGCCTGTGGGTAAGAATTTTTTTTCTGCTGGAACTTATTAACCAACTTATGACAATAAAACTAATTTTCATCTCCTGACTTCTCGGAGGCCATGATTTCAGGATTCCCCTGTCCCCTTTAGGCAGCTGGCCCGGAGTGGGTTCTCACAAATGCAGTTAGGAGTGGCTCCCGACTCCAGCTGCTTCAGAAATTGCTGACACCTCTCAGCCTAGCAGGAGAGAGCAGTTGGCCTCTAAAAGCTTTCTTTCTTGGAAATATGTCAGGCTGGAAAATGTGGGCAAGAAATTTCAGAAAATGTAGCACTTGGGTTTCCTTTTGTGGCCCTTATTGATTCATGATGCTGCTGAGAGAGAAGTTGCAGTTTTGGTTCCTGAAGCCAGGGACAGCTGCCTACTCTATAACTAGTTTGTTCATCATACTAGGCTGTCTGTCTCCTTGTCCCCTACCTGGTCTTCCAGCTGCCTACTGGGTTCTGAGGGATATGGTTTGATCACTGTCACCTCTACCAGGACTGTGGTTCCATCTTTAGCTGCAATGAATGCAGTTGCAGAAGTTGTATTTGTCAGTGCCTCTAGGGAAGAGAAGGGCACTGAGGCCCGGGCTTGGGGGACATCTGGTGCTGGGAGGGCAGGGGGAGTGAGGGCTTTGGCAGGCTTGGGGACAGGAGCAGCCCCAGGGTTCTGACATGCTCCCGCTGCCTCTCAGAGCCTCTTGATAGTGTTTCTTGATAGAAGCATTGCCAGCCCCTGTCCCAGGGCCATGCTAACTGGAACTGGGTTGGACTGCCCTATGTCTGCAGTTATAAATAAGGCCAAAGATGCCCCTGCAGAGACTTTGGCCACTGCCCTTTGATTTCTCTCATGTCCCTCTATGTTACTAGGGGAGAGGTGGTGTGAGTAACTCAAAAAGGACTGGGGCTTTCATGAGTTTCTTAAAAGGCATAAGATTCCCAAATAGGTTAAGGACCCTGTACTAGGATATTAAGGATCTGGGCCAGGACTGACACCCACATCATAGCTTATTCCCCATAAGCTTTGATCATAACATGTGACCTAAGGCATCCTAGTTGGGAGTAGGGTCTAGGGCCAGACTACCTAAATTTGGATCCAGGCTGAGTGAATGTGGACAAGTTACTCAACCTGTGTGGACCTCAGTGTCCTCATCTATGAAATGGGATACCTCCCTCAGCTCTGTTGAAATTGATGAGAAGATTAAATGGAATAATAACAGCTTACACTATGGGGCATATATCATGCAACCGACATGGTTTGAAGCACTCTGATACCTGCAGAGAGTTGAAAATAGTGCTAGGCACATGAAAAGCACTCAGTCAAGCTTACCTATTACCATCCCTTGAGGCCTGATGGTCCCCCACCTCTTGGAAGCCCTTTTTGACCACACTAAGCTGGGGAGCTTGCCTTCCTCTCAGCTTGTAACACTTCCTTTTCTATGTAGGTCAGATCACTCTTTGATCTGAGCTTTGTGGTTACTTTTAAAATATTTTTCTCTTCTCCCCTCTCAATTTGTGGGCCCCGAGGGCAGGGCTGGGCTTGTTGGGTGTATTTCCTCCCCTGTGGCTGACACCAAAAGACTTCTCCCGACCTGCCCATTGGCTGAGTTAGCAGTGATATAGGGAAGCACAGCCCTGCCCCTGGGAGCGTGGACTGTGCAGTGCTCTGTCCTGGGGTGGGGCTGGAGGCAGAGACAGGGCTCAGCAGTCCTGTGCCCCCAGCTCTGCCAAGTACCTTGCTGGCCAAGTGCCCTGCCCGTGCTCCCAGATAGGCCACTGGGCTTCCTGAGGGCTCTCTGGCTATGTCCCAGCACTTGCCAAATGTATAGCCATCCCTGGGGGAGTCCTGCTAGGGCTCTGCTCACCTCTCCTCCTCCTCCTCCTCCTCAGGGTGGAGTCCATGTCCCTGGCCGACAGAGGGAATCCTGGAAATATTACTTCCCGCTTGGTGGAGAACGAGAAGGCTAGAGATTGCCTGATTCCTATGGGGTGAGTGGACCCCTCGCTCCATGTGCCTGTGCCCTCTCAGCTTCTGCCTGGCCTGGAGCAGGGGCTGAGGAACTTTATCATGTCTGTGGCTGGTGGTGCCAAGCCTTGGCCTCCTTCCTTTGGGCGTCGTCTGCTCTGCAGGGACTCTGGGGGTGGGATTTGATGCTGCCCTTGACTTCCCTTTCCTGAGACCTCCCGGTTCTCTCTGTGCCCCTGAGTTTCCAAACAGAGCCTCCCCTGTCACCCCCACACTCAGGTACTCAGTCACAGGAAGGACAATGGCAGCTCTACTCCAAATCCTTGGAGGCTTAGAAAGTTGAGAAGGAGGTGGAGACCTTTTGATTACTGAATATGCAAGTGGGGGAACTCAGGCCCTGGCAGGTACAACATGAAAAATATGTTGCATTTGTCCGGAGCACCTTAACTCTGCAGCCAGTGTCTCTCAGCTTCCAAGGTCCATGGGCAGGGAGGCCTGGCTCCAGTGGATATGTGATATGTGAGGAGACTAAGGCTTGGAGACCGCAGTGCCTTGGCTTCTTCCACATACCGTATCTCTAACGGAAGCCTGTAAAGCCAGAATCCCAGGCGAGAAGGCCTACCTGTGGCTCCTGGCTCCCAGGATAAGGATAGGCCCCAGCCAAGGTGACCAGAAAGCCTAGGTTTGGCCCTTCCAGAGGGGATGTGGGAGTTCTTATCTCCCTATATTAAAGCAGTTTTCTTTGAGGCACGGAAGAGTAGCCAGTTAGTGTCCCCACCCAAATCCTCCTCCACCTCTCTTCTCTGTGCAGAGGTAGCTCACCCAGGGAACGAACTCTTTTCTGCAACCACCCCCCCAGCTTCCATGCAGGCTGCCCTCTGTCTTGGAGAAGGTCTCCTTGGATTGGCCAGCGTTGCTGACTCCCTCTGTGCCTCTACATCCACCCTGGGGGTGGGTGTACCACATCCTGAGTCATCACTCCTATCTCTGTGGCATGGACTGGCCCTCCTGTCCTCCCCTGCGTATAGCCCTAGGACCCAGAGTTCCAAGCACAGCTCTATAGCCTGGTCCAGTCCCCAGGCTGCCAGACAAGTGCCCGCACTATTTGCCGTTTGTGTTCTAGGATAACCTCGGAGAACGTGGCTGAGCGGTTTGGCATTTCACGGGAGAAGCAGGATGCCTTTGCGCTGGCTTCCCAGCAGAAGTGAGTGCTGCCTGGGGGGGCTGTTCAAAGGGCTGAGAGTGAAGTGCCGAGGCTATCCTAAGCAGTTTGAAGTATTGCTGTCCTGAGGATTCAGCTGGGCAGTGACCAGAGCCACTGTAGGTTTGTAGCACTTCCAGGTTCTGTTACTGTCTGTTCACCCTGAGTGTTTTCTCCCTGGTTTGGCCTCAGTTTCCCCATCTGTTCACTAGGGGCAGAATGAGGACCAGAACTCTCTTCTCTAACTGGCTTTGATTTGGTGATTGGATATGGCAGCCACAGGCTTCTCTGGGTAGCCTGGAGTGTGGGGCTGGCAGTGCTAGGGACCCTGGCAGCCCATGCTGTGTTTGTGGTAGCGTGCTGAGGCAGTAGCTGGGGATGACATCGTAGAAATGCCAGAGCCTCAGGCCTCTGGCAGGGACAGGCTAGGTGAGTAACCCCAGCTGTCCAGAGTGATGACAGCAATGGAGGGGAGTGGTATCTGGGCCAGGTGGGCTTCTCTGAGGCAGTGATTCTTAGCCATTTGGGGTTAGGTAACCGTTGGAAAATTCATGGGAAGCATCAGATTCCTTCCCATTGGAATGTCCCTGTGCAGTTATATTTACTACATGATTGCAAATGCCTTGTGCTTTAAAACGGTTTAAATACAAAAGTGCATGGAGTAGTTTAGTATGTGTCATTTTAAATATGTAGAAACTGGGGAATGGATGAAATTGGGCTGTTAGGTTTGAACAGAAAAGTTAGCAGAACCCAGCACAAATATTTGTGGGGCTCCATCTTAGTTTAGCAGAGAGACCCAAGCAGGCTTAGTCCCTTTTGGACAAAGGGCTCTAAGGGGGGTAACACCACCTCCAAACTTCCTCTTCCCCCTTGAGTTTGGGATTGGCCATGATCTGGAGATCTGAGGCTGATGGCAGAGAAGGCCTTACAGAGGCCTTGGGCATGCCAACTCCCAGGAGCAGGTGGGGGTGGTGAGGAACCCCCACCAATCCCTCAGAGCTCCCCCAAGGCTAAATTGTCCCCAAATTTAGCAGTCTGAGTTTGCATCTGCCCAAATGGGCAGCAGCTGGGGGCAGGGAAGAAGGGAGCCTGAGCCTGGCTGTCCCTGGTGCTGGCAGGGCAGCAAGAGCCCAGAGCAAGGGCTGTTTCCAAGCCGAGATTGTGCCTGTGACCACCACGGTCCATGATGACAAGGGCACCGAGAGGAGCATCACTGTGACCCAGGATGAGGGTATCCGCCCCAGCACCACCATGGAGGGCCTGGCCAAACTGAAGCCTGCCTTCAAGAAGGATGGCTCTACCACGGCTGGTGAGACCGGGCTTGGGGAGGGTGTGAGAAAAGGGGGCATGCATGCTGGGTGCTCTGCGCTGGGAGTCTGGAGCGGACCAGGCCTCTCTGTAAGGTGGATGTGGGAGGGCTGGATCTCCCCAAGCCTGCTCTGATGCCACAATCTGCCCCTAGGAAACTCTAGCCAGGTGAGTGACGGGGCGGCTGCCATCCTGCTGGCCCGGAGGTCCAAGGCAGAAGAGTTGGGCCTTCCCATCCTTGGGGTCCTGAGGTCCTATGCAGTGGTTGGGGTCCCGCCTAACATCATGGGCATCGGACCTGCCTATGCCATCCCTGTAGCTTTGCAAAAAGCAGGTAAGGTGGCTCATTCACACCCTAGATCTGGGTCCCACTTGGACCTTATTCTTGCCTTGCATGCTGTTGCTGGGGGTATAGCAGGGGGAGGGGTGGGGGGCCTTTGGGTGCTGCGGAGTGAAGGTAGGGCAGGCCAGCACCCCATACCCCAAAGCCAGGACCTCCTCACCCTTCTGGAAGAAACAGATACCCAGGCAGCCTGTAGGCCTATGGGTGGGGCAGGGCCCCGGGGAGACTAAGAGTCCTGCTCAAGGGGCCACTGTGTTAGCTCATATCTTTACCTTGCTTGCAGGACTGACAGTGAATGATGTGGACATCTTTGAGATCAATGAGGCCTTTGCAAGCCAGGTGAGCCCTGTTTCTCAACATTACCTTGGCCATGGGCAGCCTAGGTGGAATCAGCAGGCATGTGGTACAGGGGAGGGAGTGACAGGGCTACAGCTGATGCTCTGTCTCCTTCCAGGCTGTCTACTGTGTGGAGAAACTAGGACTCCCCCCTGAGAAGGTGAACCCTCTAGGGGGTGCAGTGGCTTTGGGGCACCCACTGGGCTGCACTGGGGCACGACAGGTCATCACGCTGCTCAACGAGCTGAAGCGCCGTGGGAAGAAGTAAGGCTGGTTCCTCGTGGGGTGTCGTGGGAGGGGCAAGCTGGGGCACCTGAGGGGCACAGGATGGAGGAGATGGGGTTTGGATCATAATCCCAAAAGACACAATCCGGAGCGCCATAATCCCAAATGTTGAAATCTTGAAAGCTATATTCTGGGGAAGGGATTAGCATGTTTTCGGTTGTACATAGGATAGTTGCATCATGTTAGGTGGAACCTGTTATTGTCTTTATTTGGAAATTAAGTATGGTTTAAGGAGAGGTCTCTGGGTGTCAAGTTGACAATGAGTGAATTTTTGGACTTAATTTGAGGTGTCAACTTGACTGGATTAAGAAATATCTAGAAATCTGGTAAAGGTTTTTTAGGTTATTTTGGCTGTGTCTGTGTTTCCAGAGATTAGTCTGAGTGCACCAGGTGGGAGAGATCTGCCCTCAGTGTTGGCGGGCACCATCTGATTGGCTGGGGGCCTGGAGAGAACAAATATGGAGGGTGAACTGGTCTCTCTCCTGAGAGCTGGGACAGACTTTTCTCCTGCTGCCTTGAAATCAGAAATTTGACTCCATGAAAGTCCATTACCACAACGTTGGCTTTGTGTGTAAGCATTGTGCATGTATGTGAAAACATCGAAACTTCCTCAGTAAATGAAGAGATGTCCTTTTTGTACATCTGCATTTGTGAAAAATGAAATTTCTCGAGATCTCTTGGCTCTTGGGCAGCTGCATGTGCGGTGGTGACCCATCATGGTTTTTGATCAATCTTGTCAAAAGACTTAGTTTGTCCGTCCCAGTGTTTCCACGGCCGCAATTATAAAGCTGGGTGCACGCAATCACCAACCTTAGTGATATGCGTTTATAAATTTTGCTTTTTGACCTATTTCTTTAGGAATGTGGTTCATCTGCTTGCAACAAACCTGTGCAGCTGTCATTGGTATACCTGAGTGTTTATGCTTACAAAAATATCTGTTATTATTGCCTATTTTATTGTGTAAAGTGGTCTATGAAGTGTTCTGTTGTGTTTTTGTTTCTCAAATAAATCCCCTTTTAAAAATGCAAATAAAAGATATTTCTTTTTTCCAGAACTATATTTTCAGGATTTTGATCTTTCAGGATTTCAACATTTGGGATTATGGTGTTCAGGATTATGTCTTTTGGGATGATGATCAACTCCTGGGGAGTGGGACAGGTACACATAAACACTCTGAACTGAGTATGTAGGGGCATGATCCCTGTCTTCCCTGAGGGCCAGGCTTAAAAGGGCCCCTGGCCTGCAGTGGGCATCTGCCACGCTGTGTGTGCTCCTCGGTGGAAGGTCAGCGTACTGCTTGCCCACACATCTGGTCTGATGGTTCTGCATCCTCTGTGTCCATGAGGGCCTTGGTCCATTCCAGCTCAGCCTGGTCTGGGTGTAGCTTGGTGGTGGGGCTCTGCCCTTGCCCAGCCAACTCAGTTTTGTTTCCACAGGGCATATGGAGTGGTGTCCATGTGCATCGGGACTGGAATGGGAGCCGCTGCTGTCTTTGAATACCCTGGGAACTGAGCGAGGCCCCGGGCTAGAGGCTCTACGCAGACAGTCCTGCTCTAGCAGCAAGAGAGCAACACTACAGAAGCGAAACCACATGGGGAAATTCAGCACTGGTGGTGGTGGAAGCAGAGAAATCAAAGCACTTGAACTAACTTGGAAAATACAAATGATGACACAGTACAGGAGTGGGTGGGGTGTTGGGTCACCTGCTGTCAGGCCACCTCTAGCTGGGCCAGAGTCAGCCAGGGTCACCCAGGCCACAAGGCCATCGTGTAATTCCTGGGGGAAGGGAGATTCATGGATGAAGACTGTAATGGACATAGTAAATGTGTGTTACCTTATCTTAGTGGCTGTGTTTTTTTCTAGGGGCCAGTTTTTGCCATGCTGGTCTTCTCTGTGCTCAATCTGAGTATTGCCTGCTAACTGCTAAGGTCTCCGCCTATCGTTTACATTAGCTCGGAGGACATTGTGTGCAGGGCCCAGGCTGAGACCAGGTCATGGAAGGGGGCTCCTCCATTCCAGGAGCTCCTTGGAGGTCCCAGTCTGTGTTCTGCCCAGCAGAACTCTGCTGAGCTCCTCAGCCCGGGGCCACATTGATTCCACAGTGAGGGGGGGGCGGGGGAAGGCTGGGGCTGAGGGGTGGGCAGAGCCTCAGAGCTGGTGAGGCAACATGTATCTCTCGTCGTAAGAGCCTTGGCCCCGGAGCTGCAAGGTGCAGGCCTTCTCGCCGAGCACGCCTTCCACCACCAGCGCGGACTCGTATAGCTCACTGCTCCTGTGGGGAGCGGGCGGGGCTGAGGTTAGGAGGGGACCCTGGGCAGGGGCTCCTGCCCTGTGGACAGTGCGGGGGAGGCAAAGAGGGGCTGTACCTGGCGGTGAAGTAAACCTCCAGGGTGATGGAGTTTGGGGGAGCATTGGTGGGTCGTGCCTCCAGCAGCCCATTGCTTGGGGAGACCCTGAAGGCCACAGCATCCTTGGCTGGCTCCTGCTGGCCTGCAACGAGGGGAAGAGAGGATGCGCCAGCTCAGGCAGCTCCACCTGCCGCCCTGGGAAGCCTTCATCCCCCGGGAGGCCTGCCCGCATCTCAGGTGTGCACCTCTGGTCCTTCCCAGCACCACAGGCCGGGGCAACCTTGGGGTCACTTGGGATTGGGGGACCGGCTATCTCTGCATGAATTGCAGGTGGTGCCAGCCCTGGGAGCCAGCCTGCAGGGACAGGGCACACGGGCCCCATCCTGCGGGTCTTGTATTATTGGCACAGCCCCACAGGGGAGCAGTGGGCAGGTGGGAAGGCAGGACGTACCCATCAGCACAGTCCAGTAGCTCCTGCAGCCACTCCAGTTCATCAGGCAGACTTCCCGGACTCGCTCCTGGTTCACAAAGCAGGTCCCAAAGTCCACCCAGCTGGCGGAGAGCTGCAGCTCAGGTACGGCCACAATGGCCCGCAGGGGCACCACCTGCGTGGGACCAGGTGACCTAGCCCACTCCAGCTGGGCTCTGGGCTGGGGTCTCTGGGACACAGGGAACCCTGCCAACTCCAAGTACTGATGCTCCTGAGGACAGCACAGGAGGCACCCCAGCGGGTGGCAGGGCGCTGTGCCACCATCAAAGGCCAGGGGCTGCTGGCAGATTCTGTGCAGGGAATAGGCCAGGACAGCGCCCTCTGCTCCCCCTGCCACCCTCACACCCACCAATCTCTGGTCCCTGCTTCCGGTCCAGGCGGGCCAACCTCCTCCCATGGGGGCGCCCTCTGGTCCAGCCCTCAGTCCCTCTTGGGCCCTGGACCATTTGGTGCTGTCCCTCAGCCTCAGGCCCACCTGTGTCCTGCTCTAGCTCCTGACAGTCCCCGCATCACCCTCAGGTGCTGCCTGCCGTACACACCCCATCGCCTGGGCCCCCCACCTCTGCCCCGGCAGCTGCCTAGGTGCCTGGCTGGAGAGTTGGCTCTACTGCCCAGCCTGCCGCTTCTGGCCTCTCTGGAGTCCTCCCTGGGCCATTCCCTCACACCCCTCACCTGCGGCCCCAGCTCAGCCTCCACACCACTCCCAGGGACCTTCTGGCCAGTGGTGCTCACTCTGGTGCTCAAAGCCCCACACGAGCCTGAGAGTCGCCCTCACAGCTGCCTCGGGTGCTCACTGTCCCCACCCATCAGGCCATTCCCTCAGCCTGGCTGTTTCCCTTCTCCCTTGATTAAACTGTGTACAGGCTTCACGTGCCACCTCCTGCAGGGAGCCTTCCCTGATTTCCCACCCTCCATCCCCTCACCTGGCTCTGGGCTCCTGAGACAGGGGAAGATGGATGACCCTCATCTCTCTGTGCTCAGGGCGGGCCTCTTTCCAGGCCAGACTGAGCGCCCAGGGCAGGGCCCTGCCGGAGCTGTCCTCCTCTGCCCAGAACGGAGCCTGGCCTGGCTCCACCCCTGCCCACGTGGGGCAGGCTGGGACTCGCCTGCGTGGTCTGGTTGGTGTACTCCAGGAGCAGATCCTGAGCAAACTCCATCTCCTTCTCTCCACTGGCGCTCTGCCGAATGTCCACCCCGGGCAGCATCTGGTCGGCCGGGAGCTTCTGATAGGACAGCAGCTCCAGGGAGAGCGAGAAGGACACGTTCACCTGGGCAGACGCGGGCGTGGTGTCATCCCAGGCCGCTGAGGGCAGGTGGCCACTTCCCCACCTGGAGCTGCCGCCCAGCCCTGCAGGCCCAGCCTGGCCCAGCCAGCAGCCCAGCAGCACCCCCGCCTGGTGCTTTCGTTCTGCAGACGCCGCCCAGCACCCACTGTGCCCAGCACCCTGCTTGTGCTGGGCCAGGTTGCGCCTGCCTCAGGGTCAGAGGCCAGAGGGGAAGGGACAGCGAGTGAGCCACCCGTTACCACCTCGCATGTCCGGGCTGTGGCTGGGCCCTTAGGCTGAGGAGGGACTTGGTCTTTATCCTGAGGACCGTTTTAAGCAGGGAAATGTGCGAGTCAGCTTTGCCTCCCACGGGGGTCGCTGGCTCTGTGGGAGGTGGGCTGCAGGAGCACACATGGGCGTGAGGACACCGGTCCGGAGGCTGAGACCGTAGCTCAGGCTGGACAGATGGAGCTTGGTCTCCTGCCTCCCAGACACAGGTTGTTAGTACAACCTCATCAGAATCAACTGAGACACTTGTTAAAAATACAAATTTTGGGATCTCAGCCCAGACCTTCACATCTCCGGAGCTGGGCCTGGGAGCTTGTATCTTTAGGGCATTGATGCATTGCCAAGCTGGAAACCACTGCCCTAGACCAAGATATGGGTGCAGGATGGGGAGCAGGGAGAAGTGTACAGAGAGGGTCAGGAGGGGCGTCCGCAGGGCTCAGTGGCTGGTCGGAGAGAGAGGAGTCCAGGATGAGTGCCAGAGCGGGGCTCGGGCAAGGTGGGGAGGGGTAGTGGTATTTGCTGAGGGAAAGGCCACTGCAAAGCGGAGGCACAGGTGTGAGCAGGACACGGCAGGAAGTGGATGGGGAATTCAGTTTGGACAGGTTGAGTTTGCTTCTAGAACTTGAGAGAATTCTGGTCAGGAGCCAGATGCCTGAGCACTGTTAGCATGACAAGGGTGAGATGCAGTGCTGTTACCTGATGTCCTTTTCTGGGGAAAACTTTTGGCTTCCCCAGAGCTGCCCAAGGATTCTTAAATACCTGGTGGCTAAGGGCAAAGCCCCACAGGAGCTGTGGTGGAATGGGACCTCTGGCTGGGCTCTGGCCTTCTCTCTGTTTAGCCCTTTGAAGAAGGGAGCAAGAGCGGGGTGGGGCAGGGTGCCCTTGATTCTGTCCTCTGCGTGTCTGCGTCTGTCTCCCTTCGCTGCATGAAGAGGGGTGGGGGGGCCCATCGCCTAGCCCAGCATCTAGCACATGGCAGGCCCTCACACAGAGTGACGTGTACATGTGACAGAATATGGCTGTTCCCTAAAGCCCCGGAAGTGGATGAGGTGACCCAAGAGCGTGCAGAGTGGGGCGAGGGCCGGCTGCGGCTCTAGGGAGCATGAGCAGAAGAAGGGGAGGAAGAGGGCCTCCAAAGCAGGAGGAGAAGCAGGAGAGAGGGTGGGGCACCCCACCTGGCTGTCCACCCTTGGCCTCCTGTGCACACCGGGGGGCCCCTGTGCAGATGCGGGGGTGCACACACCCAGCCCCCCAAAGGCCTGTGACCCATCTTCATTCTAGGTGCCTCGGTGACCAAAGGAAGCAGAAGTCAGTGGTTCCCGCCGGGGCCCTGGCACCCCGCCAACACCAAATTCAGAATCTAGGATCCTGTTCTCACTGATGCTCTGTCAGAAGAGGCAAGATCACTTTGGGGCCTTGGAGTGCCCTTCAGGTATGGCAGTCCAGCCATGGGCTCACCTTCGCCAGGGCACAAACCCTGGGCAAAGGTGCGTGAGAAGGGAGGGTGTGTGGGAAGTGGAGGTGCTCACAGGACTGCATCGGCCTCCGCCAGGACGTCAGCAGGGGATCGGAAGATGTCTGGGTGAGTTTCTGCAGCAGGTGTGTGTGTGGACACTGTGTCGGGGACATCCTTGCCTGTGTAGGTCATCTGTGCAGAGGTACTGAAAGTGGGATGTCGATGGGCGTGCACCTGGGACTTTTTGCGCAGGGCGCAGCAGGGTCAGATGTGCAGTTCGTGCCTGAGTGCAGATGTGAGGATGTGCAGGTGCAGCTGTGCTGTCTGTACACACGTGAGTGTGTGCCATCAAGGCGGGGACTGCAGACCCCCTCCCCCGCCCCCCGCCCCCACTGACCAGCATGTTCTCCTGAGGGCGGAGCACCAGCGGCTCGCCCGAAGAGGCTGTCTCCTCCTCACACGCCTGCTTCCGGCCAGGGCCAGGAGCTCTTCGGCTCCGGCTAGCCCCATCTTGAGACACGAAGAAGGGCCTGGAGACCAGGAGCCGGAAGTAGTGTGGGATTTCTGTGGTATTGGTCAGCTTCACGTGGCGGGTGGTCACCAGCTCACTCAGCACCTGGGCAGCCGCAGAGGTGGGGGAGGCTAGGGATGCATCTCTCCCCTGTCCTCCAGCCCACGGCCCTGGGGAGGGGTGGGAGGCTGAGGGAGGGAACTCAGACTGCAAGGCCTGTGCCCCAGAAGGGCTCGGTGGGACATGTGAGATCCAGGTAAATTGGCAGCGCTGGAGGGTGGTAGCACTCACCCCAGAGCAGGGCTGCTCGGGGATGAGGTCACTGGCCTGGCACCGGAATTCCATGCCGCTGTCATAGTCCAGCTCCACACTTAACCTGCGGGGCAGTGGGCACTGCTGGGGCAGGCCCGGCATCTGGGCCTCCTGGCTGCCCCCCTCTGCTCATCTGGCCTGAGGCTAGCCTTTCCCTGGGCCCCCCTTCTCTC